CGACCCCACTTCCGCCCCTCCCTCCCCCCCCCCCACCCCTTTGGACATTTCTGGATCCGCAATTGCCTAATATAAGTAGCAGTGAACAGTCCTACTGATGCTATTTCAATAGATGTTTGCGTCAAGAAACTCAATATAAGAAATGTTTTACCAAATCTGACGTGCTATCGCACTTTCAGTACGTCCCGGAATAGGCCTACTTGTGATTCGGGTGGGTTTAAATTTAAACCCAGCCAAAATATTTGCGATTTTTCTCAAGTATTTGGAGATGAACTTGGCATTCAGTGCAATAAAAAATCATGTAACACATATTTACAGCATAAAAAAATTGTTATATTTCTTTCGCAGGTGCTGGGTGATCTAAAAAGCCATCTTATCATGAGGACAAGTCAGAATTCGCAACGAGTTTTGTCGAAATTCGGAGTTTGTTTTTCAAGAATATCCGAGTTGATTGTTGCTTGTGGTCACGTTTCGTTGACAACATGACGTCTGCTGCAACGTGTATTAACAGTGCCAGAAGATTCTGTAAAATTGGCAAGAAAAGTGTATGTTTGATGACGCTATGTTTGTTTGTATTTTTATTTAAGAATAGTTTCTTTAAGCTACAAAGTGAATACCATCAATTCAATAAACCTATCCATGAGCGTAGGTTACAGGCGTTTAAAATCGACCAATACGTGACTGTGCCAAAAAACATTTCAAATGTTCGTATTAGGCCTAAAAATGAAGTGAAACCGGTGAAGGAATTGAACGGGGTGAATGACATCCAATGTTACGCATCAAACGAATGCCAACGTCTGAAACCGTTACCGCCGAAGAAACTCAAGGCAAGAGGATGTCAAAGACGTCTTCCGGATGCTTTAATTGTCGGCGTGAAAAAGGCAGGAACCAGTGCATTGAAGTCTTTCTTGTGTTTTCATCCGGAGGTTATTGCAAGTCACTTTGAACTGCATTATTTTGATGTGAGATATTTTCTAGGCATAGAATGGTACACATCTAATCTACCATATGCCACCGCCAACCAGAAGGTTTTAGAGAAAACACCAAAATACTTTATATATCCCGACGTTCCGAGGAGAATATGTGATGACATATCTCCTAACGTCAAGATAATCATCATTCTGCGTGATCCAGTGACGAGGGCAATTTCAGACTACGTCCACGAGGATGAGTCGCGTGAAAGAAAGAAAGTCGAGGGCGAGCGTGAAGATCGCTTAACCCCTCAATTATCCCCGGAGATGGAAGCATTGAAAAACATCCACAAGAAAATTGACAGACAGAATATTGAGATGGCAGGCCTAAATATTTATTCTAAACTCGGTGATACATTTGAGAGTAGTGTGGTTGACGCGAATGGTGATGTTATTCGCACGAATGCAATTGTCGATAGCAGCATTTACGTGACTCATATTTTGCGATGGATGGAGTACTTTCCACGCAACCAGATCTTGATACTGGATGGGGACGCTTTCATTAAAGACCCGGTACCGGCTCTCCAGCAAGTTGAATCTTTTCTAGGCGTCAAAAGCTACTTTTCCAGAGACAATTTTTACTTCGACGAGGAGAAACGCTTCTATTGTGTATCTAAGCCAGAGAAATCGTGTATGCCGAAGGTGAAAGGTCGTCCACATCCAAACATTAATCCAAAAGTTTTGAAAAAATTACGGGAATTTTATAAACCGTACGACCGATGGCTGGTAGAAGTGACAGGACAAAACTTCACATGGATGGCATATGATAAAGAATTCTAGAAACTGGGGAAAAGTTACACTGAGTAGAGGGGTTACCTTTGATACAACTGAAAGAACTGCGAACTTATGTGATTACTTTAACAAATAGGCCTGAGTACTGAATAAAGTGAAGAACAACAACATTCCTATGATAAAGTTTAAACATTTTACTAGATATTTATAATTATATTTTTCGTATTTCAATTAATTTCGTATTTTTTTATCCGTTGCACTAGGATAACCATAATTGTGTCATTTCAAGCCACACCTATGTTATCTTTCAAAAAGTGGAGTGTTAACTGTTTAATGTAACTGGATTTCACTGTACTTAAATTATTGTTTTCGATTCTTTGTTGTCAAAGAACGTCTTGTGTGGCCAGTCACATGGTACTTGTCGTTTTTGTCAAACAGGTTTGTTACACACGTAGTGTTAAAATACGATATGCGTTTGATTTGAAATAGTTTATTTATGGACAATGTCAGCCGTTTATGAAAGCCACTGGTTTGAAAAGTATCTGTTTATATTGTCTTTTTAAATGGTGATCCTGCGTGCTGACGTCTCGCACGCTCGTGAGGATATGCAGAGGGTATGGTCATAAGTATTGTAGTGTAGCCAATGCTAAAGGATGTTTATTGTTTTAGCATGAATACTTAATTAAGGTGGTAATGCGGGCTTACTAATAATCCATAAGCGCGTGAGAGTGCCACTTAAACCGTTATTGGAGCGTCTCCGCGTCACCGATGACGTAGAATGTCTTTCAGATGTTACCATCCTCTGGCTTCTTTTTTTGCAATAAATGAATATAAGTAATAAACTGCAACATTTTCGCACCGATTGCGACAATGCATGTATTACAGTAGCAACATCAGTTGATTTGTTTTTATAACTTTCAAAAATAAAAGTAGCTCTTCTGCGCGCATTGAAAGTTTGTTTCCATTGTTTTATTTGTTTACATAGGCCCTACCTTAAATTTAGAAGCCTTGGGAACGGGCTTTTTTTCCGAGATTACTTTTGCAAACCAGGAATGGCGCCAGCAGCTGGGCACAGAAGTCGGGGAGTTGGGGTACGGAAAATAATTTAAAACATTTTCTAATTCAGAGACAGCTGCTGGCATGAGTATCATTTTCGGGAATCTGGTGGTAACATAACCCAATCATGTGGTGCTGAGGTGGATGCGGCTCATCTGTCGAAAGATGATGGACCACCTGTCGGTATTTAAAAAAAATGATGTCACCACCGCTGTTGTCAACTTTAAAAGTGCTTCTTTTCAAAATGGATGCTGTAAATATTGGGAATTGCTTCAACTGTATAGGACTATATCATGTCATTGTCACGTGCCATGAACAAACAACAGAGCTATTATAGGTACAGTACATAAAAAGTAGACCGAATATGTAACATTATTAGGCCTATTTGTAAATGACCCACCTTCCTTAAATTAAATTAGGAATACCTGATAGTAGCCTACATGAAACAAGAACTCGGAACAAACCTTGTCAAGCTGGTTCTGATTAAAACACAATCATGTGTTAATGTAAAATACATGTAAAAACAAACCATTACCAGGTTCTAAAATTGAAGAAGGGACGCTGGGACTCATTTTGGGATCCAGGGTAACATTAGACGAAAGCCTATTGGTGACACTGCAATGTTAACTTCAGATAGTAATCAGTGGTGCGGCGCCAGCGGGAAGGGGGCAGGGGAATTTCCCCCGCCGGACAGGCTTCGACCCCCTGACGTCCGACTCCACGAAAAGGTCGTCAGATTAAAAGTACTGAAAAACAATTATAATTTGCCTATTCAAATAACTTTATGTTGATTGCCAATTTCTAATATTGGAGTCTAAAAGCACAGTTTGGATCATACTAAGCCATAAAAACTATCCCCGTAAACCCTACCAGGGATTTTTTTTATTTTGGGACCCCGACCGAGGCTTTAGTCAGCATCTTGGTTCGGACCCCTCTCAGAAATGTCGGAACCCAGTGTCGGCAAAATTTCTGGAGCCACCGCTGGTAGTAATCCGACATTTCGGATTAGTATGGTTAACATAATACTTGTAGTGGCACTTAAAATATTAGCTAAATGGGTCTTAACAACAAGGTTTTTTCCCCCTTGAAAACGGTCAGGTAAATTTTTCTCATCTTTATTACAGTAAATAGGCCTATTTTGTGTGTACCCGGTACACACACGTTGCATACGTATTCTTTTTTCCATGAATCGATGAACCCCAAAAACAAAAGGAGGTTTGGGGGTCCTCCCCGAGAAAAGTGTGATTCCTAGATGGCGGGAAATGAGCTGTCCCGACAAAAAAAAAAAGAAAAAAATTCAGCTCACGGGTCTTGAAAAGGTAGGTCTAGAATTCTTTTTTTTTTTAAATTAAATGTTTTCTTTCTTTTTTCCCAAGGGAGAGGGGTTAGGACCCCTGACCCCAGATCCGCCAATGTGAATTGGGGGGGGGGGTTGGGAGGTCCAAGGGAAAGGACCCCCGTCGGGGACCCCTGTACCCCCGCTTGGACTCTCCTGTCGGGGAATTTCAGCAAGGTCGTTGGGGAAAAAAACAAATCTCGAGCACAGTACAATATAAGCATGCCTTACTATTTAATATATAAGCTGTCAAATTGTAGATTGGGATTAAAAACTGTTCAGTGTGAGCAGTGCTACCGTATGTGCGAGGTTTTGTATAGGCCTACAGTATTGCGATCGTATGGGTTGCAGTGGTGGCGCCAGCTCTTTCCAGACAGTGGGCTGGCTGGTAACTCCGACAATATAAGGAATCCCATAATTAACACAAAGTGGTATTATTTTTAATAAAACATTTCCCCGACCGAGGTGGGGGTGTGGACCCCTTGTCGGGGGTCGGGGAGCTTGGACCCCATGTCGAGTAATTCCTGGCACCACCCCTGCGTATTTTGTTGGATATCTTTAGTATTCACACCGAATAATGCCAATTCCAGCGGGATAGGCATTATTTATTTAAGCAGGATAAAATCACATTCAGTGAAGAAAGCTTAACACTACAAAGTGAAAATAAACTAACTACATTGTTATTAACAGTGGTCATGGACACAAATATAAAAAGGTATGACTAAAATGATAAAAGCAATACTTGCAGGCATACCGGTCCAGAAAATATTGGTAATTCGATTATTTTAAATTATTAGTTGTGCCGCTAACTATTGGTCTCTTCCCGTGTTGAAGTGACAAAATATTCTAGGTCTAAGCTGGTCTAAGCATGGCCCGACGTATAAATATATACCTCCGTGGTCTAAGCATGGAGGTATGGTCTAAGAAGCTGGCGTTTCTTATCATCTCGACCATCCGTGCCTTGACTGTTAGACGAGAGTGGCAGTTGGTATTCATGGTATACCGTAATGTCAAACGACCGCATGCAAAATGTCTCACTGCTTACAGCGGGGCACGGGCCACGGCTACTCTATTGTAGTAAATTTCAAATTATAGCTCCATACCTCCTATCCGACCAGTTTGCAGAAACCCAGTTTGTCGGACCCCATATTGCCGGGTCCACTTTTCCGAAACCCAGTTGCCGAATTCCATTTACCAACACAAATTTATGACCCAGTTTGTCGAACTTCGAAAGTATAAAATATGGGACGCGGAAGTATAAAAACGGACGTGCTATTAAGAAAGTAATAAAATGTGGGTACGTTAGGGTAGATTATAGTTCTTTATAAAATTTAGGTGGTAACTGGCTGGAGGAATAAAAGGAGTCACAACAGAGCACAAGTGCCAGGCTGAACCAATTAAGCTCCCGTGGTACAGCAGTGCTCTAGCATAGGGCCATTAAATTAGACCTTGTTAAGATAACGGCCTTTGATTTACTGTCGCTGACTTCGGTCTGATTACGTAACACCCCTCATTTAGAAACAAGCCAAGCGTAACACTGGTGACAAGAATGCAAACTGAGGCTGCGCAGAAGCCACTGACATGTACCTGTGTAGTAATAACACATGCGCAGTAATGCAGTTTAAGCCTAGCTTTCGACTAAAAAAATCGTTTGAAAATCGGTCAATATTTCGAAAAGTTACATCAATTCAAAGATATGTCTTAATAATTATCGTCAATTTCATCAAGGGATTATCGTATTATTTGTTAAGTCGAATTTTATCACTTTCTACTACTACAAAACAGATAAATCTAGGTGCATTTTAAACCATAAAACATATTGAAACTTATTCGTTTTAATTTTTTTTGCGCGCAAGTAAAATATGATATTAAAGTTTGCTCATGAATATTCAATTTAACCGATTCACGGTCTTTTTTTACGAGTGTTTTAATTTTTTCTTTGTATAATTCATTTATAAAATATGTTGTAGTCTATTTTATGACCTTACTACCATGATATTTAGTCACAATAGATTTTGAACCGGTGAGTCGATTAGAATTATTATATTTAATAAATAAGTATTATTACAATGTTATTAAAGTATTATTACATACAATACCGATGATTACGGCGCGTTTGGCTGTTCGTTATAATTTAAAAAAAAATACATTTTAAGCTATTGTTTTTATCCCACTGCAATTTAATGTTGGTTACAAAAGGTTTGTAATAAATATTGCAATCAAATACGGTAATAGATCGTTAGATACTTACGGTACCTTTATAAATGAAATTAGTATCCACGAATGTATCATAATAGGCCTACACTGGCCCAAGGTATATTCTTTAATGAAAGCACTGTATTTAAGGCAAATTACCGTCCTTATCAGGCGATGGATTAATTAATCCATGATTAGACCTGCCATGGAAGAATTACCGTAGTTTGCTACGCTTAATCTTTGAACTTGTCTGCATTCCAGAGTTATCTGTGTTTGATCGTCGCATGAATAAATGGAATAAAGTACACTTGACACCTAAATCTAAATTGATCTAAATTGTAATTTTATTCACTTGTATGTTCAACATTTCTTACTTTATGCTAATAATACTCACACGACTAGCCTAGTCTAGCCTCTCACACGACTCATTAAGAGGCTATGCTGTAAGTGTCGCCGAACAAAATATTAAAAACAAACTATATATTATTGATATAATATCACAGGTGTAATATCAGTGGCGGATCCAGGGTGGGGGGGGGGTGGTTCAGGGGGTTCGGACGAACTCCCCTGTGAAGAAACGTAACAAAATACTACTGGGTCCTGGCTTACAAAATTCATGCTAACTAGATGCGGACCCAGACCTTCGCCCACTTCGTCCAGGCGAAGGTCGGGGTGAGAAATCAAAATAAAATGTTGACCATTTTTTCCAACAATCACACTTACATTCCTTGACACTTATTTTTAACATTACCATTATAGGAAAGTGTTTAAATTCACGCTATCCTATACCTTACACTTTTAAACTGATTGTATCAGAGAGAGGTACATTCCCAATACATTATGGTCTTCCACTTCTATAGCGCATGATATATGCATAGCAAACCATAGAGAAAATAGTACATGAGCAAATGTTATGTAACCACTAATAATAATACTCAGGTCCAGTGGCGTAGGTATGGGCAGTGCAGTATTGGGGGCTCGTTCAATAGTTCTAATCTGGCCTAATGATCTAAAAATATAACTTTAAAAAATCCTATTTAAACTTTTAAAGGACCCTTCAATAACATAAGGTTTTAGAGGCTATGATATTTATTATATTCATTAGAATTTACCTATTACCAATTTCCCACACGATGCAAGTAAAAAAAACGCAACAAAACAAGACCTTATATACGATGCACTAATGTGCTTTTTGAAATCACATTTCTAAAGCAATACAATATCGTCACGCACATTTGTGTTTGTGATATTTTAAAGTTGGTTCAACTACTATTGTGTACGTTTTTAAACACTTCAGATCATCGTAACTTCACGAATACATTTTAGATTCACTTCACTGCAGTTCGATGACTGTTTTATTGAATG